TGCTGTCAGTTAATGTGATCAAAGATTAAAACAGCATTTTTATTTGAGCTCTTCTTCATTAAAAACGACAAATCCGGATTTTCATTCCCCTTTCCGGTTTGTACTTTACACAATCCAAGATGGCGACCATCACTAACTGAATACACACGCTATTTCAGCGTTGTCAAATGCAATCATATGGGAGTAAATTAATTTATAATAGATGTAATAAGTGTTTGTTTTGTTAATCCAACAGCAGGTACCTCAATTAATCACCTATTGACCATGTTAAAAGGATCAGGTGATAATTGCTTTAGGCTCCAGTGAGCACGCTTATTGCCGGACACCTGTTGGCTTGTCGTCCGGTCCCCCTCCCCACTAATTACAGGCCCCCTGTGGCAATACGCCTATCGTGCAACTGACCAGTAGGGTCATTGCTGGACTTGGGTCAGCCGTGTCATTTAATCAGTGTCAATTTCTTGTGTAAAAAGACCACCTTCAGTACAAATAACAAGGAGATACGGTTCACAGTTTAAGGTGATACGGGTCAATTAAGCTGATACGGCAGGGGGGGTTTCAAAATGAAGCTGATACGGAGCCGTATCAGCTAAATGGCCTGGGGAGAACCCTGCCGATTTTTAGAAATTACATCAGGATGACTATTTGGTATTAGGTGACACCTGTTTACAGGGGACACAACTAGAGAAGGAGTGGAGTTATGTGTATTGACAGTTTTACCAGAATCGAGATACATGTAATGTAGTAGACCTGGAATTGGTCAATCGTCAGCAAGCAGGTAGCTCAATTGGTAGGGCGCCAGACTTGATTTCGGAGGGTCAAACACTAGATTGGCTTTGCATTTAACCGCTCCTTTTACATTTGGTGCAGGTGACCAAACCTTGTTTCAAGTAAGGGGTGAAGTATATGCTTGGCAAGGGGATATCAAACCCTGGGTTGAAAATAGTGTTGTCTTCGGGGGCAAAACTTTAAAAAAGAAGGGAGGAGTGTAGTGAAACTGGACTTGGTGGGTTGCCGGCAACCACGTCACTCAGTTGATAGAGTTTGGAGGGTTTGGGGTAAGAACACTGATCTAGCCGTGCATGTTTTTCTACTTTTACAATTGTGTTCAAGATGATCATATGTACCGAATCTTTAGGTGTAGTGTACAGTTGAGAACAGGTTCAGATGTCAAGGAAGCCAGCTATCATGCTTTATAGTTTTATCTAAGCGAAACACACATGAAATGTCCTCTGGGGGTTTTAATTGTAAAGGAATTATTTTTGCATACCCTCAACTTGGTTTATTTGTGTGGTATTGTATTTACTATGACTTTACTAACTTGTCACGGACATTCGGAATATCCAGATATTTATAAATCGTTCAGTATAAATGTTACCATTTAAGGTCCTAAGGAAAATCAATCAAGGGGTGGGGACTACAAAAAGTGCCTCCCTGCTCTCCTTTATAAATGGTTTCTGGAATAAAGCAGATTTTTAACTTATACTTAATTCAAATTGTACTGGTGAAATAGTTAATTGTTCCCAACTTCCCTGACGATGTGAACTGTTCCTTGCAAAACAAATATCCATGTAAATTATTTCGAGAATTGTTACTACAGTGACAATGTAGCAGCCTTGAGAAACATTTCTCCAACAGGTTTCCTCAGTACCTCAGGGAAACAGTTTTGACTGTTCCCAAACCAGCCGTGAAACAATTATAAACTGATTCCAGTACTTGTTATAATATTTGCTTCTACAAGTAACCATTTTTTCTCATTTCTAAGGAAAATTAATGTTGTATTGCAAACTTTTCATATCAAATAAATAATATTTTTAATCAACACCAATAATTCTTTCAACATTTTCTCCAGTGAACAGGTTAGCATGGTAGACATATCCCCTAGGAGTTATAAAATTCCTTACCCCTCTGAGAAGAGTTTTGTGATACAGCTGTAGCAACATAACCTAGAAGTGATGCTATTGCTTATGTCCCCTGATAGTAGCAACATAACCTAGAAGTGATGCTATTGCTTATGTCCCCTGATCTGATTTTCATAGTAGCAACATAACCTAGAAGTGATGCTATTGCTTATGTCCCCTGAACTGATTTTCATAGTAGCAACAGAACCTAGAAGTGATGCTATTGCTTATGTCCCCTGTCATAGTAGCAATTTGACCTAGAAGGTCTGATTTTACTTCCTCAAAATAGATCTTCATGGTAGCCATGATTGATCTGGGAGTATTAAGTTATTTTTCTCACATCCCCTGATCTGAGTTTCTTGGTAGCCAGCCATATTACCTAGCAGTAGTTTCAGTTGACTATGAATGCCATGGACCAATTGTTGATGTCATCATTAATATGACATCATAATTGTTATGTACGATACCACCCGAGCAATGTCTTTTCTATTCATTGAACAAGAATATACATTATTTGAACTTAATGCGGAATAATAATAAATGATTGATTTTTTTTATGAGATGAAAAGATTCCAAAAATAGTAAATATAAGTACTGAACTGTTAAAAATCAAAGCTCATCTTTGGAAGTCTCAAGTGTCTGATGAAATATAGTACTGGTCTTTCTTACCTCCCCTGAATATGTCCTCATGGTAGCCATATGACCTAGGGGTACTAATCTTGAATGGTGACTTTGGCTGATATTTGTTTGGTCCATCTCGAAACCTTGTCCCAGGAACCTCGTCTACATGTTCAGAATTGTTTTTCTTGTTACCCTTGGGCTTATGTCTTGGAGACCAAGAGCTACAACAGGACACTTGAAAACAGGATACCAATGGTTGATGTTTCAGTAATGGCGGACGCTGGGCCAACAATGTCCATGTCCTAACACAACCTGGAGTACTGGTAACTTTTGAAGCACATGGAGAGAATGATGCGGCACTATGTTTTGATAGACGGGCAACATTAAGTAATTTTCCAAAGCTAGATGCCATTTTCTGTGTTGTATTGTTCAGTTGTCAAATTTTGAGCTATATCTCATCTCCTTCAGTCCTTGATTACAATCTGAAGGAAAACAAACAGAACATTATTTATTTTTTTGAGTGACTTCATATATACATATGGTGTTTATGATAGTTGATATGTTGGCCAATATTACACAATCCATATTAATCTGTTAATTGGACAAAAAAATATTTTGCATGTTACAGGTAAATATCCCACGAAATCGCTTTGTACGATGATCACAACGAGATTGCATTCGTTGTAAAGTGATTGCAAACTGACTGCTGTTTAATAAAATCGAAGAAAATAAAGGTAATTCTAAAAACCTGTGGAAACAATTTAAGGACCTGGGATAATGAAAGGAGTAAGAAACATGTTTATGTGTTTTGTGACCCATATCAGTATAGCATATGTGTATTTCAGATATTTGTAACGAGCCCCTGTGGTTCAATGCTTGAATATCAACATTGTTTACTGTGTTATCTTACTTTATTCGCAATATTTTAACACGTTTGTGTGTTGTTATTTTGCTCCATGTGTATTTGACTTATTCGTATTCAGAGCTTTGAACTTAGTCACCCGCTGCTTCCAATTCAGACAGCGTCACGCTAAATATCATATTCTTTTGGCCATAAGGACCAGATGAACTTACAAAATAACAAACCACTCCGTGCTCTTCGTCCTTCATGTTCTTTCAAGCTTTTCTGATTCAGTGATCGTAATTCAAACATTTAGTTGACCACTAAGACACTTATTATGATTAATAATATAAAATTGCTCTTACGGATGCATCGGGGGATTAGCTCAAGTGGTAGAGCGCTCGCTTAGCATGTGAGAGGTACCGGGATCGATACCCGGATTCTCCATATTTTTTTTTTGCAAATAAAGCTGAAATCTAAAATAACCAATTTCAATCCGTCTTCCCGAAACCAAGTAATATATATCGCATGCAGCAAGAATTTGATATGCCTCATAATCTCATAATGACTACGCGGTCCTGAATGACATCGTGATTAATAAGGTGTTAAAAATTTACTCAAAAACCTAAATCCATCAAAAGCTGCAGGGCGTTAATAAACTTAACATTTTCAAGGGGAGTCACAATCCTGATATATATAGAATTTTGCCAGCTCAGTAATAAACTTCAAAAACTTGTCAAAAAGGCTAAAAGCAATTATTCTGAAAATAAAATCGAAGTAAATAAAGGCAATTCTAAAAACCTGTGGAAACAATTTAAGGGCCTGGGATAATGAAATCAAACCCCAAAACAGTTCTCAATATAAATGGTGTAAACTGTCATGATAACATTACAATAGCCAACCATTTTTACAAATATTTTACTACTGTTGCTTCTTAATTGGTTGAAAAACTTCCATTGTGTAAAGGCTTATACCAGGGATTTGTATACTAAAAGAACCCCGAAAGGGATTACATGTCATCATCGCCATGTCTCTGAAGGGTTTGTGTAGAGGTAGTTATGCAATTTGAATATATGTAAAAGTACAGGTTTAGATCAAATTCCTGCCAGATTCTTGCGGGATGTGGCACCAATAATCAAAATTCCTATCACCTTTCTAATAAATTTATCCATATCTGATGGTATAGTACCTGACGATCTTAAAACTGCAAAAGTTGTCCCTTTATTCAAAAAGAAGGATAGACTCCAGGCAGAAAACCATAGACCTGTGAGCATCTTCAATATTGTGTCTTTTTTTTTTTTAGAAAAAGCAGCCTATAATCAATTAGAAGATGTTCTTGTTAAAAATAAACTCCTGTTTGATCTATCTCAGGGACTATATAAAATCTCAAACGTCGAAAGGTTTATTTACTGGTATGGTCTTGTTAGACTTACAAAAAGCTTTCAATACATTAAATCATTCTATATTGTGTAACAAATTAAAGTTTATTGGTGTCGAGTCCTGCAACTGGTTCAAATCTTATTTAGAAAGTAGATCTCAACTAGTCAGTGTTAATGGGGTACACTCGTCAGTTGGTAATGACAACTGCGGGGTTCCTAAAGGAAATTTATTGGGACCACTTTTATTTTTGGTTTATATCAATGACATGGAAATAAGTATTGAAAATTCATGTAAATTACTTCTCTATGCGGATGACAGTGCTATCATATTCTCACATAAATGCCCTGAAACAATTTCATCTAAAATCTCCTTGGTTTTGGAATCCTGTCATGATTGGCTTATTGACAATAAATTATCATTACATCTGGGAAAAACAGGATGTATCCTTTTTGGTCCAAAAAGAAAATTAATTCAAACGCCCAAGGATAAATTTCTGGTTTCTTGCAAAGGTCAAATTATTAATTATCATTCGGCTGTAAAATACCTTGGTGTAGTGATTGACAGATTTTTATCTGGAGAAGAAATTGTCTCCAATGTCATACAAAAAATCAATCAAAGACTAAAATTCCTTTACAGAAATAGTGACTGTCTATCCCAAAAATCACGAAAAACTCTATGTTCAGCTCTCATACAATGTCATTTCGATTATGCCTGTTCATCTTGATATGAGGGTCCTTCTAAATTACATAAAAAAAAGTTACAAATTACCCAAAATAAAATGGTCCGTTTTATTCTTAAATTAAACAACAGGACAAGAATTACCTTTACTGAACTACAAAAAAATAGTATGCTCAATGTACAGAAGATTGTTGTTTCTCTTTTCACGACTTGGGTTGCACATGATAGGACAAATCCTATCAACCCAATATATGAAAACATGAAAAATTGTTTTAAATTCCGTAATAACTATCTGCTTATTACGGATAGGATTTGTCCTATCATGTGCAACCCAAGTCGTGAAAAGAGAAACAACAATCTTTGTATATTTTGGCTAATGAGTCTATCTAATTAGTTGAAATTGTTCCCATTAGAGCTTCTTTGAATAATTAGTAATTAACAGAAAGTTATTTAGGATTTTTTTTTTTTTTTTTTTTCATGTTTTCACATATTGGGTTGATAGGATTTGTCCTATCATGTGCAACACAATTCGTGAAAAGTGAAAAAAAAAGATTTTTGCTTATGAGTGGATTTTATTTGTTGAGATGGTTCACATTAAAGTTAGTTTGAATAATAAGTAATTTAAACACAGTAATTAATTAATTCAATATAGTTTTTCCTGTTTTCACATATTGGGTTGTTTTCACATATTGGCACGCTACACGGCATGCTGTGATAAACCATTCTGAAAGAAAACCATACCTTGCGTCCGGGATTTTTCTGAGAAATATAAAGATGAAATATACAAAATATAATCAACAACAGTTTTCTGAGTGTAAAACTTTAGCGGGGCTTGACCGGGATTCGAACTCTGGACTTCAGATTGTAATTTATCAATGCTCTGACCAATTGAGCACCTGGTCATCGGAACTATCCCGTCTCTACTGCGCTTCGTGGGGACATGGATCCTTAAATTCTGTCGGCGACTGACTAAAGTGCTATGACATTTCAACAATATACAGTGTAGCCTATTCGATAAAAAAAAAAAAAAAACAACATTGTTTTTACATTCCAAGCTTAACAGCATTCAACGTCTCTTTAGTCACGCCATTTAGTCACGCCATTGGTGCTTCCTTTTTCTCTTTCAGACTTTGTGATGTATGTTTTTAAATTCAAGGAATGTTTTCTTTTATATATAGAAATTCAATCAGCGATATTTTGCGTTGTATATATCTGCCTTTTCGAGGTTCATTCATGTTTTATCAATCAGATTGATCTACAATAGTCAATATTTCTATTAGAGCGAACCTGTTATTTGTAATATCGAGAAAACTTAGTATTTCTCTGGAAAGTGACCTACTTATACCTTACTCTTATTGATGCCAGCACTAGTGATCTGTTACAATATTGTGGAGTCTGTTTCGGCGCTTCATACAACTATATATATACAGTCTTTTAATAGGATTTAATAGGATATTAGTGGATGCAGGCATTGCTGCCTCTATATCCACATCAATTTAATTGAAATAAATTGTGGTAAACATAAAATAAGTCTGTATATAAAACGCTGTATGATCGTACTTCAACTCAAGATATTTCCAGAATGCGTCCAGGTTTTTCTCAATGTCAAATATGTTACGAGACGAAATAACCTCCAGTAGGGACTACTCCAGATATCAATTATTCTTTGAGTAAAGAAATGTTTTTTTTTATACTTAAATGACAATGTTGGTTGGGCATGTTCTTACTGTGTCCACGAGTTTTTTTCCCTTTGAGCGGTGAACTCGAACAATCCTGTCACTAAATGTGGATCATATAGCTCATTCATTAACTTGAACACGTTGATCATATCTCCGCTCAACCGCCTCCTGTATGTTAGAAAGCTTCAGTCGGCGTAGTCTCTCGCTGTAGAAAATACGAGGAGTACTTTTGAAGATCTTCCTTCAACGTTCTCTATCCTTTCGATGTCCTTAATTTTGTGAGGACTCAAACTACTTGCAGTTTACTATAAATGAGGTCGTACTAGCACTTTAAAAAGATTTGTCTATTGTTTCGTCCGAATATACAAATGATCTCTGAACATTGGCGAAGGCAGTGGTGTTGCCCTAGTGGCCCGGGCAACACCCTTTTATTCTGTGTCCAAAATGAATCTGACCCAAATGAACTTGGACATTTCCCTCCATTTCATATGTTATTTCTCATTAAAAAGGTGAACCAAGATTTTTCTATGGCTTCCCCCAGTCAGCAATGTAGTGAAATCAGTGCTGTATGGGCAACACCCTCAGGCCTTCCCTAAACAATGGGGGATTAATCCCTCTTTTGGGTATGTGAGCAGGTGACCTGTCAGGTCAGTTATCACCTGGTCACTGTTCTACCTGACCCTAACTGGTTATCCATGCACTACCTGTATTGAAGTTCTTCACCTGTGGTTTCAAGTGTTAATGGTCATTAAGATACATTATTGTGATTATAATAAGTTGCTTTCCAGTATCATAGAATTTACTAAAGCATACTATTGACCTTTTGTTAGTTATTGAGGTACTGTTAGCTCTATTTATTGCTTGCTAGATTTGTGTTGGGAACCCATACCTGAAAATCATTCATGACCCGTCTTTTTTGTTGTCTGGCATACGTACGAAAGTGTCGTATGCCAATGAGGCCACTTCACCTCGCTTATGTTTTTTTCACTTCCGAAAAGCGTAGGAGAGATTCTTATATCTGTAAGCACTGTTTGCAAAGGAAAGTAAATCTTGTTTTGCCATGAACTTCCAATTTCATCATTTTTTAATGGAAAAAGAATGACAAATAGCTAACCGTCAAACAGAACCGATATTGGACTACATAAACAAATTACCATATGGTATGATAGCTAAATAAATAAAATAAATACATTTATAAAATCATATGATTCGTTTAAGTTCACATATTGAAAAATCAATAAAAAAAAATGTGCAATTTTGAAAAAATGTAGATCGATAATTAATTTGGCGATCATAAATCATACTTTAAATACCAGCGAAGCATTTGTTCGTGCGGGCCACTATGGAGAATTTCTTTTCAGTGAGTTCGATGTCATAGCTTGACAAAGGGACCAGTCGGTCTTGAAACGTTACCATACGTTTAATACGTACACTGTTTGTGAAGAAAGTAAAACTTTGATATTTCATATTTCCTAAATGAAGTTTTATTGAAGATATCAGTGTAATCGAGTTATCTTCCTTTGAACACTGAATCAAAATAGAAACACGGAAACACATGACGGTTACTTCCGACAGGAAAAATTGG